TAAAATAGCGCTCTCTTCACCATTATGAAAACATCAAATGAATGAGTGGTGTTCATCCCTCCAGTGGAGCAACAGAGATTTAAGAAATCTATGCCAAGGAGCACTGAAGCTGTTCTGGAGAGTTGTGCAGACCCAACACCCTATTAAGACACTTAATCTAGTAAGTATCTGTACTAGTTTCAATAAACCACTGAAAGTTCTTACCACACTCCCCATCCTGGAATGCCTACAGTCTGGATAATACTGATCACCACCTGGGCCATGAAGACGAAGAAGAAAGCCATAAAGTTGAAGGAGCTGTCGGTCCTGCACAGAGAGAAAAATGAATGAATAACGTCATAAATTATGTGATTCAGCAAAAACTAATGTTGTGTATGATCAGAATGAAATCAGCTTACTTGAAGGCCTTGTAGATGGGCCTGAACCAGCACACGTAGGAGCAGGGGGTGAAGAGGATGAGCCACAGGATGGCCATGCCAAAGTTGGTCGCTCCACCACCTCCACACATCCATGCCAGACAGCCAATCAGATTAACAGCCAGTGTGGCAGCGTTCACTGTCAGCATCCAAGAGGAGAAGCAAAGATGACCAAAACATTAAAGACTGAGGACAGAAACCTCTACAGCAAAAAGCCCACATGCTGCATTACTCATAATTCAGCAGGACTGAATCACTATGAATCTCTACTATTCAACACTAAAACTATCAGTCCTATATCATACTACAATAAGTTAATATAAACTACAGCTACAATTTATTTAGCACACACGGCACACAATTCCTAGTCAACAAGTACCAAATGTTATATGTAAACTAATCTACGTATACACCAGACTTACATTCCTTGTTTCAAATGGCAGAACCTAAGTGGTAATGAAAAAGATACCATGATGCTCAAGTGAATATTATAATTTGACATATTACTATTATGTACTGTTATCACTAGATTTTTCTCTTGATTCATTCATAGATTAGTCATTTGATCTATGTAATGACAAAAAATTGTTCTGTAAATTGTAAATATGTCTTATTTTGCCTGACCAACGCACCAAAACCCAAAGATATTCCATTTTCAGTGATATGCACCATGGAAAAGCTGCAAATCCTCACATGCGAGATGTGGGAACAAGAGAATAAGTGGCATTTTGTTTGAAAAACACCTGAAACAATTAATCAATTATCAAAATAGTAGCTAATTAAATTTATGCCAGTTGTTCTTCATTCAGATTTGTGAAGGTTTTGTACTCAAACCACAGAGCAAATAGCAAATGTGACACAAACTTAGACACAATATTTGAGACTCCACATATAAATGCATACGAAAATGGAAAAATAGATGAATCTGGCTCTGTGCCATGCTGTGAGACTGGTCAGTCTGGTCTCACTGCTTTACTGTAGTGTTTGCTGTTTGACTCTCATAATAAGGGTAAAACAAAGTGAGACAGCGCGAGGAGCAGTTCACAGGTTAACAGCTTAAAAGTATAAGATGTCGTATATATCATACCACCAGCAGTCAACACACAAACTTTTACTGCAGTTAAACTCACAGATCCATAGGTAGTAGAGCCTCTTGCACATGGTGCGACGCTGGTCTGGGATCTCATTGAAGTCTTGGTAAAAGCATGGCTTAAGGGGAATGAATCGAGGCAGGGGAGGGAAGTTGTTTTCTAGGATACAAAGACGCAGTTCAGCACAGCTGCCCACACACCAAACTCATAAAGAAATTAAGTCAAGACAGCTGCATGGAGGATTAAATTCAGCCTTATAAATGGGCTGATTTTGCCATTTTGCAGCCAATTTTCCAAAAGGACTCTACATCGCATGCAAGCAGTATAGTAGAAGGGAAAGGAAAGCTTACCTGCCATGATCACTGCTCAGTATTTTCCTCCACTTGCTAACAGACACACAGACTTCAATATCAGCTGCAGTTGCTGAAAACCAAACTGCAAACAACAGAGCTGTTTTATTAAGTGCAAACTCACCCATTCACATTGCTTTCCTTGTAGGCAACAGGCCACAATCCTTCATAGGCCTTCCTGTGGATCAGCATGCACACACTTCATTGCAATAAAAGACTGAATCCCCATATGATCTGGTTAGAGGTGGTGCCAAGGCCTTTCAGGGCGCCCACCCGTCATGGAGCATCATTCATTGTGATAAACATGTTTTCCTGAGCACATATTACAGCTGTGTAATGCGCGCGGTGGGAAACAGTGTGGCCTTGTCGCGATATCTAAAATGTATTCATAACCTATGGGCGCAAAATAGGCGTGTTACAGGCCTACAGAGTTTATAGACTGGGTTATAGTCGAGCTGGTTGTTTAGCCCCTTATCACTTGCAGTAGGCTATATATATATCAACCACTTGCAAATCACATTTCAATGCTCATGATGGTGGATGTGGGGTATAGTTCTGAAGGGCATCTTTCTGCCACAAAACGAAGCAGTCTCTGCAACAAAAAACTGACTGATCCTGGTGGATTTTGTGCATTATGATCCTAACAGTGTCTTAAACGTGTATTTCTGTCGGCGGATGGCAGTGATGCTGCAGTAGGACACTGTGCATCGTGATCACAGACGATGGAGAAGCGTCCTTCAGACTGTGCGACACAGTGGTGCATCGGTGCTTCTTCTTCATCCGGACGCCGAGCAGGTCAAACCCAGACTTCGAGCCAGATAATACATTTTGATGCACCGATTCCCCTCCTGCTTCCCTAGATGGAGAATAATGAATGAAAATGCAGTGATTAAAACGCCTTACCTTCCGCTTAGTCCGAGAATGTCGCTAGAATCCCTCCGTTCGTTTAAAAAGCATCCTATGGATTAATCTGCGTTAAACACACTGGGGGAAACACACGACTCTGGCGCTTTGTGAGACAAATGTGTATCGTTATTCCTCAAATGATGGCTTTGGGAGTAAGAGGCGGTCACGTGACGTAAGGTCTTTTCTTTACGCACATACCCCTGCGATGGTTGTAGACGCCCGGGTAGGACGAGGGCCCCGAGAAAGAAAAAAAAACGGGATTTGTTGCTGGTCTGAACCGACCAATCAGAAAGCAGAAGTATTTCGACGAGCTCCGCCCCTCGGTGATGCTGTCAACAGTGCTGAAAATCAGAGGAGGCATTACACAGTCTGATCTGATTGGCTGCCTGATAGCTACTATAAAATATACTACTGTAATACAAATATCACAGCAGGAATTAAAAAGATGTATGACAGTCCTACTCTGAGGAAAAGGAATATCTCAGTCATACAGGAGGTAAAAACTTAATTAACAGGGTGTCTACATCAGCAAGTTATACCAGGGTTTCTGCAGTATTTAACTCCCGATTCCTCCTAAATCCTGATGATCATACTGGTATGATGGTATAAAAGATATCAATAAAAACCAGCAGGAATGATACGGCCTTGAATCATTTGCCAAGTGTGTGATTTTACTGACAATTATATCACACTGAATAGATGGATAAATGGATGATTAACTAGTTTTCAGCTTTTTAAGATACCCTGTATATTTAACACCTTTTGAGAGGTTTTTCCAGAACAAATAACAACTTTAAGGCAAAGCAAGTTTATCTGTATAGTAGCCTACATGTCACATACAGGGCAATAACTTTTAATGCATTAAAAAAAAAAATGCAGCATTTAAACAGTGAAACACAAATTTAAAAGATTTATACCATTTCAAATCAAAAAGAAAAAAACAATTAAATATTCAAAATGTATAAAGATGTAAGTGCAAGGTGGATAATGATTAGTGCACAGGATTCAGTAAAAAGCAATGAGTAATGAGTAAGGAATTATTTGCCAATGCTTTATCAATCAGTTATAAGCCACTGTTGAGAACAACGTTGGGTTAATTCAAAACCAATGTTTGGGCAAACCACTGTATAAGGTTTCAGCTAATTTGTCTCTGCAGGTATATGGCATAAGTTGGGTTTATCTTGGCTTCTTCATAACAAAAGTCTTAATGTAAGTAGGTGTCAGTGTCATGTAAGCTTTGGTTGATGGCTTGTATATAGCCTTCAAAACATCTGATTTTGCTGCCAAAAATAATGACATTCTGACACAGATATTTAAAACCAGATCTAAAGTCAAAATAAACATTTTCATCAGTTTGTTGGTAATGTGTCAATGCTAATGACAAATTTCATTTTGGACTATAATAATAGAAAAATGTAAGTGTAGGTGTAGTCACAAGTTGAGCAAGAGGATTGATCCTACCTTTTTGTCTTGGATGTTTGGTATTTTAAAAGGTAACTTAAAAATGAATTGCCCCTCACACACTGCCTGTATCCACCACACACATACAAAACTTATGCTCTAATGGCACAGTGCCCAATGGAAAAGCGGATTATACTTTAGTTACCCTGACCAGCTTGCAAGATGATAGGTTTATGCATATTTGTAGCCTACCCTCTCTCACAGTTTATCATTTGGGGGGCTTTGCTTTTGAGCCTCTCTACTTGACAAAGCCTTTGCATGGTTATTATCTTTTTCAAACTGCATATATGTCAATCAACAACAGCTGAAGCACTTCTCTGTAAGATGCAGTACAGTTCAACAGTACCACAAACTACATCCTCCATAATTATTATAAAGTTGAATCAACCTCTGTAAAACATTTCCAACAAAAATGAACACTATAACCTTAATGAAGAGAGGATTTGTTGTAGGGCTGTTGTATTAGACTGCATGTGCCTAGTTCTAGCTAGGTGTACCTAATAAACCGGCAGCTCAGTAAATGGCTGTGGACATTGACCCTGTATGGGGGGGTGCTGCTTTCCAGTGTCCTCGTTAATTTCCAATTACTTGGTTTTTAAGTGCACACGATAGAATGAGGAGGGGGGAATACATATCAAGCAATCTCTTGACCTTTTTGGCATGTTCTACTAGTTTCATTCTCTGCCTTTGTATTCATGTATTGACACGGCTTCCACTCTTTTCCATTCGCTAGTTTATCTCGAACATGGGCGAAAATCGAACACTTCCGATATTTTTTCGGTACTTTGAACGCAGCAGTGCCTCAAGCTGACGTTAGCTCTTCCTGCGGTGTTATGAGTTGAGCGACACTGAAGGTAAAAGCAAGTAATGATATTAAACTAGCTTCTGCCAGGGGAAACAGGTTGAGGATGTATTCATAATACCTTTAGGATCTCACGGTAGCCCAACAATGTTTTATTTGTCATCAGTAACGTTACTCGGTGTCAGCTCTGCACTTGTAGCTCAGCTAATGTTAGCTAACGTCGACCCTAACGCTATGCTAACTAGTTAAGAGGGATATTACTAGCGTTAGCTAACATTGCACCTGTGGTGGAGTTTAACTCAGTATATTCAGCTACTCAAATACTATATATTTGATGTATTTCTGAATCTTTTGTGTTCATGCCTCTATACGTCTACTACATTTCAGAGACAATTGCTGTACTTTTACTGTACTCTATTACTGAGCATTAGTAGATTAGTTAAGAGATTATGAAGTATGAAGCTTTGTGATAAATTAAGATACCTTATGTCATATAAAATTACAACTGAAACAGTCGGTTAATTAATAGAATATGTGATTGAACTAGATTGAAAATCTTTTGATTACATTTTTATGCAAAAATGCCAAACATTTCATGGTTCCAGGTTCTCAGATTTGACATTTGCTGTTTTTTCATTTTAATTAGTTAAGTTGTTTTATATTATTATTTTCCAACTAGTAGTTGGACAAAACAGGCAATTTGAAGGCATCTCTCTGAGTTACTGTGATGGCATGTCTCATTATTTTCTGAATTTTTAATAACCAAACCATCAATCTATTAATCAAGAAAATAATCAGAAGATTATTGCAGCTTTATATAAAATAGTTAAAATGAACTCAAAACCAGATAGATGGTCTGGCCCCAACAGAGCCCGGATTTCAAAATCATAGAGCCAGTCTGGGATTACATGAAGAGACAGAAGACACTGAGACAAACTTAATCCACAGAACAACTGTGGCAAATTCATTGAAAAAAATCGTGCACAAGTATACAGAGGAGAATTGGTGCTGTTTTAAAGTCAAAGGGTGGTCACATCAAATATTGATAAATAAAAATATTGATAAATAAATACTAATCATGGAATTAGTTCATATACATCCCCACTTTTAGTTCTGAAAACCTTTGCACAGTATGTTGGCATGAGGTGTTTATTGTGGTGTTAACAACTAACTTAATTTTTGGCTGTTCTCACTCATGTGTTATCTTATCAGGTCTGTCTGCAGCGCTGGGAATGCAGCCACCGCTCCCACCTGAGGCGGTCAGAGAGCTGGTGTGCTCCTGTCTGCACAGAGACCCAGTAGCAGCAGATCTGCGCTGCAGCTTGTTTGTTGCTGCTGCTCAGAACTACAAGAGGGACTCTTTGCTCAGACCCTTCCCTCCTAGATACATAAGTGGTGACAATAAGGATTTTGAGGAGCTGGTACGTGATACAGAGACAGTTAAAAGCTTCCAAACAACCTTTATTCCTGCTTAACTTTTAAGAACATGCATCATTTTAAATAACCTAACTTTAGATATTACAAGAAAGCAATAACTACAGTAAGTGAACTGTTAAAGTTCTGTGACATTTTACTTTTTTAGTAAGGATGCAGATGCACACCATGAGAATGGTGTTGGCATTATACACATACACTTGGTGGCAGTAGTGTACTGTTAAAGGTGGCAGTGTGTCAGTAAATAAAGGTGAAGGAAGAGACTCCAAGACAGTGTAAACACAGACAGGTTCAAAATGTTAAAAATGGCCTTGCAAATGGTTTAAGAGGTAGACAGGTAAATGTTTCAAAAATATAAACAATGCATATTGGTGAGAAATATTGAAAGTACATTAAAGAAAACTGTTTATTTACAAAAAAAACTGAAGAGAAAACTTTTTTATGTCTTGGAGGACTCATCAGTCATCATGTGATACCAAGTGTCAGACTCATCAAAAGAAAGCTGTTTTCACTCTGAGGAATGAAAGGCTGAATCTGCTTGTACTAACTTCTTCAATACACTCGGTTTTCACTTTATTAGGAATGTCTAATGTAGACCAACATGACTCTTCTGCCATAAAGTTGCCATAAAAATTAGTACTTTTATGATTTCAGCATATTCCTGGTGTTTATTGCTGATGTTTCCACCCTTACTTGCCATTACAGACATTACAACTGGCACAGTTGTCATCTTTCTTTGTGAAATGAAGCCAAGCTTTTGACTGCTTCCTCCTCTCCATCATGACTCCTTGTTGCAAGTTTCCAGCAGCATAGATGCATGAGTTTGACGTCAGTGTTTTGCAATGCACAGCTGTTAGAAAAACCTGCCAGCATTGATTGACGGAATTGATCAGCTCAGAGGCATCCGATGGTACGGACAATTAGGATCCGGTTCTCGATTCCTATCCCTACTCACATTATAACGTAGTCCAGTACAACACCACCATTAACTATGACCTCAATTATTAACATATAATCGAATTTACACATTTGTGACAATGTCACCAAACCTGAACATTATGAGCTTTATAAGGATGGACATTATGGCAACCCTGTTAAACTTTATTAGATTGTACAGGTGTACCTAATAAAGTGGACACTGATTGTATATTAGGTTTACAATAATAGTATTTGCGATGAGGATGTCTCTAATATTTTATCAAAATGCTAAAATGAAAGGGGTTCAAAACATTTAATTTGTTAGTGTATATATACTTTATATTAATCACTGATTTGTATCTTAGTTTCTTTAGGCACAGTCAAGATAATACAGGAATCTGATGGTTACATCAATGCAGAGATGATAACTCAGTTTCAGACAGATGGTACAAAGACAACACAGCTTTACATACACTGAGAGGGAAGATATACTACAGACTGTGCCTGCCTGCTGTCATGGCATTGTAACAAAAGTTAATTTTGTTCTGTAGTTGGCAGATGTGACGTCTTTGCCTGGTGTGAGAGAGCTGGTGAGACTGCGACCTGGAGATGGAGATCATCATCTGGCTCTCACACACTGGATTCTCTCTTCAAACAGCTTTGCTGTGAAGACGCTACAGAAAGATGAGGTACATCATTGTATGTATAAATACATAAATCACAGTTTCTTTAAGTGTCTTTGTTTATGGTGTGTTTCTTTGATTTCCACCAGTATGGCAAACTTTGTAACTTGACGGAAAATGAAGGGATTTCTGCGCCTGTGCCAGACTTCCTCTTTGAGCTGGAGTACTGTGACCAGATGAACGCCAGGTTTGAGAAGACGAGGGCAGGACGAGATGTCTTCTATGCATTCCACGGGAGCCGCCTGGAGAACTTTCACTCAATCATTCACAACGGGCTACACTGTCACCTCAACAAGGTCAGTGCTGCCGTCTTCAGCTATATGCTCAAAGGGTTGCAATCAGAGACGTCTGGTTGTTTCTGACTGACATGGAAAATTACATCTATTCAATCTGGTTTCTTTTTTGTATGTGCAGAACTCAGTGTTTGGAGAGGGGACCTACCTCACCAGTGACCTTAGCATGGCTGTCCTCTACAGTCCCCACAGCAGCGGCTGGAGAGAAAGTCTCCTGGGTCCACTGCTCAGCTGTGTTGCCTTGTGTGAAGTCATTGATCACCCAGATGTTAAGTGCCAGGTCAAGAAAAAAGGTGCGTACCCCATGTGACAGCCTGGATACACAGAATGTGAATCCTATATATTTTAATTTGCTGTATATTGAAACCACCCACTCGTTTTCTGTTTCAGATTCTGAAATCATTGACCGTCAGCGCTCAAGGGCAAAGAACAGTGAGGGAGGGGACGTACCACAGAAGTACTTTGTAGTCACCAACAATCAGCTTTTGCGAGTCAAGTACCTGCTTGTTTACTCTCAGAGGAGGCACCTGTCCAGGTAAGACAGCTCACATTTTGTTCTGTAGGTCACTCGTGGCAAAGGTAAACACAAAAGGCATACATAAGTGACTCAACACAAAAAAATCTAAATTCATATACAAAAAAGATTGTGCTGTGTATTTTTTATGCCTCTGCGCAAGCGACAGCCAGAGCAGAGGCATTATGTTTCCAGGTTGTCCGTCCATCCATCCCATTATCGTGAATGCAATATCTCAGTAACGCTTTGAGGGAATTTATTCACCTTTGGTACAAACATTAACTTGGACTCAAAGATGAACTGGTTAGATTTTGGTGGTCAAAGGTAAAGGTCACAGTAACCTCAAAGCACGGTTTTAGCCTTGTGAATCCTTATTTGTTAATGCTTAGTTGTTGACAATACAACAGTTACGACTTGTCATGTCATCTGATGGAGACGGCGTGACACAGTTTTAAGCTCCAGAACAAGCGAGTAAGTGGATGTTGAGTGGAGATCGTTTTGTCAGCTGCTGTTTCCAAGATCAAGAATATTGAAAATGCATGTTAAAATTTCCCACATCTTCAGGTGTTTTATCTGACCAATAATCCAAAACCCCAAAATATTCAGTTTCGTATCACATATGATGTAGAAAGCATTACATTTTCAAATTTCTGAAGCTGGAAACATCAAATGTTTGGCATTTTTTGTTTGATGATGATTGGCAGGCATGATTATTTGATCATCAAAATAGTTTTTAAAAAAAATTTTGTTAATCTCATTTAATTTATTATATGACTAATCATTGCAGTTCTACAGAAATACAGGCCTGTTGTTTTCCTGGAAATTGTTTCACAAAGTCAATAAGTGTATTGGTTCGGTCATTATTTTGTTCTGCAGGAGTAAAACCAGGCTGCTATTGTGTTTTTCCTCTTCAGACATTCCCGCAGCTCCTCCTGGTTCCTCCGACACCATTTTGCTGTGATGATGAGTCTCTACCTTCTGCTGCTCATATTCATTGGTGCCTTTAACTCCACCACCTTCGTATCCTTTTGGAACAGACTATTCAGGTGATGAGACAACAGGGCAGACGGCCTGGATGTTCATTATCCACAGTGCCTTCCTGATCAGAGACTGACTGGAGGCCTGAGCAAAGATGCACCTTTATACTGTTTTCTCTTTACAATCATTCTTTTATTTTTATAAGTAGTTGGAATTACTGTTAGTTCAAGATAACATATCTTTTCAAATAGCAGCTATCCTCATAGCTGCTCTCGTGTATTAATTCTGTTGAGATGTGTCATGAGACCATTCTGCATTTTACGAATGTTATGCAATGTTTCATCTGTAATTTGTATTGTTTAGTAAAGATTCAGTTTTATAGATAAGCTCTGTTGCTGTGTCTTAGTCGCCTGGGGACAGTTTTAATAACCAAAGACGGGAAAAGAAAAAACTGCAGATTTAGAAGTTATTTTAAACATTTGGATATTTTTTTGTTTATAAGGAGGATTTCTAGCACATTAACTGACTGTACTGACTTATTAATATCCTTGATGCCTGACTGACAGTCTGTTGATCAGGCAGCTCATGAGTGAAGTGTTAACTTTCAGGTATTGAACATACTGGTTGGTTTTGATGAGGGAAAAACATAAGGTGGCCATTTTGGTTGTGCTTATATTTATAATGATGGATCACAGACGGTCCACTGATAACCTTATTTGTAATGATTTCAGACATGCTTTTTTTTTTTTTATCCTTAAAGCAGTAAAGGATCATCACAATTTTTGACACTAATAAAATTATAATTTGTATAGAAACTGTTTCAAAGGTTTAAGTGAGGTTAGTCTGGTCTAAAATTGAAAAATCTAAAAGGTGTCACACACACTGTAATGTTGGGCAAAGATATTGAAAATAATGGTGGAAATCTTTGCAGCTGACTTCCGTACATCAAAATCTACTTGAAAGTCACTCTTTCACAATAATCTCTTGTACTTTTCTGTTGTTCCAGGGTTTTGTGTTGTATTCAGACTAACATGGGCTGGCTGCCTCTGACAGGGACGTATTTATTACAGCTGGCATGCAGACAGTCCTTTGTTATCCATTGTTTTTATCAGTAAAAAAAAGTAAGACGGGTATATGGGATTGATAACGGAGGCGGCCGCGGCTTTAGTGACAGATCCTGTCGTTCTAATAAATACTGATACGCAGATGTGTATCCACAGTTAGAAGCACAAGAAATGCACAAAAGAAAAAAAAAAGGGTAGTTTTTTGTAGTAACATAGTAAAAGTACATGTTATCAACTGAAATGATGGAGTAGTTATTTACTGTTATTATTCTGTTGTTTAGAATTTCACACAGGAAAACTTAGCATTAATGTTTTAGCAAAGTAGACATTTCCTGTAACACAACCAAAATGCATATTTTAGACAGATTTGAAAACAATTTAATAATGATTTAATTTATTCACAGATAACTGCTTGTGCAATACTGTCAGCACAGTCAGTCTCTTATTTATTTGCTCATGTTTCCTTCCTCTGGCACATTCTCCTGTTCATTTAGTCGAACAAGGAGCTGCACAGATAAAATACCAGATATTATTTAGATATCGCAGTAGGTCAATGATACAACAGACTCACAGCTAAAAAAAAAAAAAAAAAAAAAAAAGATGAAAGAAAACACAGGCCTTTGTTTTGGTATAAAAACCAATTCCATCTTGCGAAATCCCTCAGATAAACGGCCTCTCTTGTTCAGAAATGTCTCACATTTGAAGGACACAGAACAAACTGCCCATTGTTGGTCCACACTTTATTCCCTTTCTGCACACACTTCATTATTGCTGCCTCATAAACTGTCTGTTATTCAATAACCATCAACTGTCAGGGGGGCAGCGATGGCGGAGGGGACTCAAGACGCTTTACTTCTCCTGTGAACCTGAAAACCTCTGAAAATCAGTTCAGCCAGAGGAGAGACAGTGGTAGACTGATAAGACACTTTCATTCACTATGTTGTTGTTAGCCACATTATCATTATACACTTCATTTGTCTGCCTCGAGGTTAGCTTTAAAATCTTTCATTGTTTCTGCTTATTCCAATATGCAGACTGGTTCATTAGTTCACTCATTCATGGTTCAACACTACAAAGGGAGTTTTTGTAGAAGACTAAGCTAAAGACAAACATGCTAGTGGCTCTGTGACGCTGTGCTGAGGCACGGAAGTGCTTTGAGCTAAATGCTCAACATGCTGATGTGTAGCAGTACAACTGTGTCTGACGGGAATGTCATTAGTTTTGCTGGTACAGCATTTGGTCAGAAATGGATTTACTCTAAAGGGGCATGAGTGTCTGAATTTCGTGACAATGCATCCCAAGATATTTCAGTGTATGATGGACAGAGGCCGTGCAGCTTGCATGGCTAAATGTGCAAAGTGTTAGTGCTTCACTATTTACCATCATCTGTTAACTATGGAGATTAATTGAGTCCCAATACATGGCATAATAATTTACAGTTAAGAATTCATACATTTCAGATGCAGTCTGATTGTTTTTTTTATCATTTATTCTCAAGTTAACTAATGATAGAGAGAACAAACTGTTATTTTTTTAAATAAGGTGCTTCTTGTTACTCTATTGATCACCAGGATCTTATTGAACTTCAACTTTACTGTTACAGAGGAGAAATTAGTCTTGCAGCCAGGGAAAACATGGAGCACACACACAGGCGTTAATATAAGATGTACAATAAGATCCACCACACAAGTTCACATAAAACACCTGGAATGCACCTGGAATCAATCCATCCATCCATCCATCCATCCATCCATCCATCCTTGTCCTACCCAGCCATCAATCATTTTTATCAATATCACCCTCGTCCCACCAAATAAATAAAATCAAGTACAGTGTGACATAGAATTTTATTTCTCATGATTTAAAATATATACATTTAATACATTTCATTTCACAGCATATTCAGGGTTACATGACATATACAATGTGATACACAAAGTTTAGAGATAGCTGCCTTTTTCCTTTTAGCTACATGAGCTAGTGAAAGTTTCCTCTGGATCTCCTCTTCTTTACTTCAGTGTGTGTTCAGTGTGTTTGACAGGCTGGGATCAAACACACAAAATGCCCCTCTGCATTATTCTACAGAGAAAAACAACAGCGTACACACAGTCAGATTAGAGGATGAAGTGTTTGAAAGCAGTACATTATAATGAAGAAATGAGTTCTTAATTTGATGTTGATGCAGCTCTCTGGTGCCTCTCTCTCACCTACCTGCAGGTTGTTGTGGCATACAGGACTGTGAGCTGCTGTCAGGTGGTTGTGCACACACTTCCCAAAGCGGTGTAGACAGGAAGGATCAGAGGGGGCGCAGGTCTGAGGACATGATGGGGGTTTTAGCAGCAGACAGCTTGAACAGGAGGTGTGTTGGCAGGAGCCCTGGCATGCCTTTTTCTCCACAGACACAAACCTGCAGAGCACATAAGTCAGATTTCTGTTAGAAATGCAACATATAAGACATTAAGAAAAAGAAAGGAAGGGTTTGTCGAGCGAAGTTTCTTTCAAGCACCTGGCAGAGCAGATTTCAGAGGGGTTGGCCTGACAGTATTCCTTGGTGCACTCTGGGTGACAGGTCTCTGGATCCAGTGGTTCAATCACTACACAAAAAAAACAAAAAAAAAAAACATTTTAAACACTCAATTTGAAACATGAGAAGTGGGAACTGCATTTCATGAAACTGCATTTAAAATGTAATATTTACATCTTTTCCCGAGCAGCAACAAAGTGCTAAAACCTCTAATCTCGTACTACATCTGATACTTTATCGATAACGGTGACAACTCTTTTCACCATGGAGAGATAAGAGCCGTAATTATGGCTTAACTGTTAGCAGAAACCTTTGATTCAAAGGAAGCCTTGACCACACTATCAGTCTTCACAGCTCATAAACAAGACTTACCACACTGGCACCATTCCCACTGTAACTAAGTACATTTGCTTGAGTCCTGTACGTTTTAAATATTTCCTTTTTCTGCCACTTTACACTTCAACTCCACTACAGTTCAGAATCCTTGTTACTCCCCCGTTTCACAGCTGTAGTCACGAGTTACTGTGCAGCTAAAAATCTTAAAATTCAGAACCTATGATCAGTTTTCACGATGTGCTGCAGATTGAATTACACAAGAGTATAAAAAATTACTGATTATTAATTCCCCTTAATCAGCTACAACAAAAAAACGCAGCTTATCTTTTAATGAATCAGTAATAATGATACATTATTATATTAACAATAAATATAACTGACAGAAGCAGGTCTTCTGCATCTGTATTATTGACTTTTTGTGATGCAAAATTCAAACATTGCTACATCTTTTTTTTTTTTTAATGGGTGATTAATGTAAAAAAAACATTTGCCTCCCTGTAGGAAATTATATTGATGATGTAAAGTCATCCACGGCACATTACCTGCTTGATACTGAGGTCATAGATTAGAATCTCACCTGCTTTACAGATCCCTTTGTGCTCGTCCTCTGGTTTGTCAGCTGCTGCGTCCTGGTAAACACACACCAGTCCCTCATCACACTTGCCCAGATAGTCCCATGTTCCTCCACAGGTCTCCCCCTCTGTTCTGGCACAAACAGGGCAGCAGCCGCAGACGCCCGTTGTGACACCACCTTTACACTGGAGCTGCAGCGCCCGCCGGGAGGAGCAGTGTATCCTCTCGCAGGGCGGGCAGTGAAGGGCCTGAAGCTGCTGAGCGGCCCCAGGGGGCATTTCCTCTGACCCCAACGCCCCCAACAAGGCGCTGAAAAAGAAGAGCATCCACATCCTTGATAGAACTAATGTAATCCTGAGGTGAGCGTGCCTGTCTGCACCTTTTATATATGACAGCACCTGGGAAAGCTTCATAGTTTATGAGCCACAACCTCCACCCCCCACCAGCAGCCAATAGATGAGGGCAGGGGGGTTTTCACTGGGTGCATTTAGTACAAATACAGTTCATTATCCCCATGTCTTATCTTCACACTATCACTAACTGTGATTTTGTTTTGAAATAATTCCTCCTTCTTAACACCATTAGATAAGTCTGATGAAGACTGGTCCCCTTTGTATTTGGAGTCACATGACCTCTGGAAGGAGCAATTCAGTGCGCCCTTACAATCAGATAATGACCTATTTCTTGAAAGAACAAAAGGATTAGGACATCAACAGGTTATCTGATCAGGACATCTCGTAAGTTTCATATCTCTGAATAAAAACTGGCAGGTTGTGAACATAACAATAAAAGGTGGCCACTGTTACTGGATGTCTGTCAAGTTACAGTGGTTTACCTTTTTTTCCCTATCTGGTTTTCTTTCGATAGACACGTTAGACTGAGCATTATTTTTCAATTCAGTTTATTGATGAAAGTCGACCCATAATCATATCACTAAGTAACCACTTATTTTGTGATATTACTGTATTAAGAAATGTCGTTTTTAAAACCAAACAGTTTGATAACTGACAGAGTTTACTCTGTGATGGGATTTTTGGCCACTGTGGTGAAAGTAAATAGTACAATTCCTATTTTCTTAATTACATGACCTTCTTCAAAGTCTTCAAACAGGCAGTGAAAGATGCAATGAAAGTCAAATTCTAAAACAGTTCAGTTGGACTGACCTTTAAATTCATTTGTGCTGGCACTGTAGAGGACCATTATTTTTTAAAAGGTATTAAAACCCTCTTAAAATCATTTATATCCAGCTACTAACATACAGGCAAATAATTGAAAAGCCATGTAAAAGAAAAATCCATAATGTTTGAAATTAGCACAGCAGACATATTGCATCTTGTTTGAGATGTTGTGGTCCTCTGACTGTGTGTGGACTTGAAAAAGAAAAACATTCAGATACATGATTCTTTTATCTGTGTTCTTACTGGATCACAGTGTATTATAAAATTAATTTAGTGAATGTGACCAGGACCCTGATGAGCAACATAAAATAGATGGATGGATTAACCAATTAAAAATAATTAATTCCTTTAACTTTTTTACTAAAATCAACACTTGGCCATTACAAGACAGCAGCGTTCCCAGCTGATGTAGGTCTGTGCTGGAGCACAATCCCATCGCTTCGATCCCACTTTTATTTTGAAGGTGTCTAATGTTTCCCACCAGTCAGGTGAAAATATTCTTTTTAATAACTCCTAAGACCTTTTATTGAGGAAAACTAATTCATTGGTTTTTAAGACTTTTCAAGACTAGGCAGACCCCCTGCCATTTGCTTCAGTGCTTCTGTGGAGATGTTTCTCTCGTATGTTGACTAAGTTTTTCCAACCCAAGGTCCACTTACTCGTTTGTTTTGAGGATATCGACCAAATCACATGGTTCTCATCAGCAAGGAAAGTTTCAACATCTACATTTCTACGGCAACTGGACCAACTCAATCTGCTGATGAAGACCATGTGATGGGGTCAAAAGCTCAAAAATCTACATTTGATTGGTTCAGTTGATATGACAAGCTTGAGTTGAGTGTACATGTATACAGTTTTGTTATACTAGACTAACTACCACAAACTACCAGTAGTCAAAATGACCAGGTACTTTAATTACTAAAAATTAAAAAAGATCAATCAAAATGTTCATATATACCCTGGGTTATGTACCTTAATTATTAGCAGGAAGCTCTGAGTCGTATAAAAATGTATTTATTTTCAAGGAAACCATTGAGTAACACTGAATACAACAGGAGTGATCATTCAATAGTCAATAAAACTTGTGACTCCTACATCATAAAGATCCCACATACAAGACGTCTTGGAAAACAAGATTTGAAAGCAAACATGTTGGCAATTTGCTGGTGCTACAATTTCTTTTTTTTTTCTCTCCCCACATAACAAATTGAGGTGATACACACCTGTGTAGAAAAGTGACAAGATTTTACATCAACTTACAAAGGGCTGGATGTCAAAGTGCAAGATGCCTGAACCCCCCTCCCACTCACCCCACCTCCCCCACCACCCGTCATCAAAGAGGACGATCAAGGTATCGAAATCAGAAATGGACTTTCAAATACAAATCTCCAAAATTATTGTTCTGCCATTATGGCTTTGTATTCAGTTGAGACCCTATTCTAGCTTACATTACAGAGCTTTAAAATATTATTTCAGAAACATTTTCCTCCCAAAGATACATTTTTAAAACTGCACCTTATTACAGACAACTGCATGTAATGGAGTAAAGCATCACAGGAATAATGCAGGCATACAACAGAAAAGCAGCAGTTTATCAACAACTTCAAACAAAACACACTAACATTTTGTTGGTTTATAAAAGAAACCGAATCAAAGAATACATACTAAAATCTGAAGTGAAAATAAAATGACTTAAAAACCTTGAAGAAAAAAAATATGTACATATATTTACAAGTAAATAGAGTGAATATTATACAGGTTTGACTGGCCGTTCAAGGTCAGGCTGAAGCCAACAAGGTCCATATAATCCAACACTGCATGACATTCAGTTTTGTCAATCCAAAATGGTTCCTAAGAGACAAAATACTTCCAGGAGGCCGTTTTCAAGGTCGCACTAAAAAGAAGCGAGCAAAAAAGTTAAGTACCTGCTGCAGCGAGCAGGTCCCTTTATTCTGAGGCGGGTTCGAGTGCGTATGTATAAAAACATCCAGGGCTTTTTGACTCAAACATAGCTTTCAATTTTTTGCATGATTTAAAAAATAATAATAATGATGATAATAATGGCAATGTTTTGTTTGCAAACCACCGAATAGATCCTTCTAGGAGTCAGTTTTTTTCCCACCGTTGATACCATCTTGAACTGAAAGGCTCAGTCTGGAGGAAGGAGGTCGTGCAAACGAAACCGTTCTCGGATGTGCGGTCTGACATCTTCATTCTGTGATAGAGAGGTAGGTCATTTTATTTCAAAGCGTCATAGACCAAACAGAGCTCAGCCCGCGTGGGCATATACAAGACACTACGACGTAACAAGCAGGAGCAATAACATGAAGAGAGTGAAAGTGTGATGAATGATAATGATGAATTTGTTATATCAGTGTTTGCTGATTTTTGACAACAGACTTGAAGCTCTGCAGTGTGAAGTTCTAATTCTTACTCTTGTATGATGTTTTTTGTGAATGAAACTTCACACAAACCAAGCAGAAGAGGCTGCCTGATATGACAATTTTAGGGGCCTTGATCATTCTAATGATCAAATCTCACAAACGCACAAACCATACTTCCTCATGAACAGGTGGAATTCACCATTTACAATCATGAATTTACAACAGGTTTGTGCAGTAAAGAGAATCTGGTGAATCCACTGAAGAAACAAAGTTTTAGTTTAAGAATACAGTTTTTAGAATTTAGTTTATGTGAGGCCCAATGTGTTTTATTCCTCAGCAGAGCTACATATGAAAATTAAAACGCTCAGTTGGGAAATGTTATAAACAGATACTGAACCTTAAAAAGAAAAAAAACAATCTTACCATTACATTATGATTCAGGCCCTGTATAATACTCCTCTAATATCCTTATTGTGAGTTCAGTACTTTACAATGAGCTGGACATACTGGGATTCCTGTAGGGAATATTTTAAACATTTTCCTATGATATCTGTCATCAGCACTACATTTATGCCTTGTGATTTTATCAATATTATTCTTTTAATTTATCTCTAACATCTCACACAGCTGCTCAACACTGATGATGTTTTGAATCTCGAGACTCTCCACAGGGAAGAGTAGGTGAAATATTCATAACACACCACAGGCAATGTTAGGCTGTTGCTGCTAATCTAACGAGACAAAAGCCAAAATGTTTAAAATACATACCAGCTCCACAAGCTTCTCGAGGAAAGGAACAAGCTTTAGAAGCTCATTGTCATTTCTATCCACAAACCAGCTCTCTATAGGGATTCCATTGGAAAGCTGAAAAAGACAAAATCACTGTGACACAGACACATTGGTTTAAAAAAAAAAAAAAAAAAAATAAAAAAAAAAAAAAAAAAAAAAAAAAAAAAAAAAAAAAAAAAAAAAAAAAAAAAAAAAAAAAAAAAAAAAAAAAAAAAAAAAAAAGAAAAAAAAAAAAAAAAAAAAAAAAAAAAAAAAAAAAAAAAAAAAAAAAAAAAAATAAAAAAAAAAAAAAAAAAAAAAAAAAACAAAAAAAAAAAAAAAAAAAAAAAAAAAAAAAAAAAAAAAAAAAAAAAAAAAAAAAAAAAAAAAAAAAAAAAAAAAAAACTTTCATGGCGGTTTATTTACCTGATAAGCAAAGGCTTGGGGTGAGTTGTCAATTATTATCGTCTTGGAAAGATCCCGTCCGAGAATGTTTAGGTCTTTAATGTAATTTCCTTGAACACACACACAGTGCTCACGAAATAGCCTATGTCTGGAAAATACAGGACAAGAGTATATTCTTCAGTTAAAACATATGAGAATACATTTTTTAAGTTACTAAGATAGAGCCCTGACTAACAACAACAAAGGAACTAAAAATATAACCTCTTTGGTGCCTTATAAATAGAGTGTGGGATTTCAAAATGACAAAAAAAACAAAACAATACTTAGTGCAAATAGTTGAGCACAATAGAGCATTAATCAGTCAGGTAAATAGTGAATGTTTGCTCTTTATATGCAAAACAGGTTTGTCCCTTAATTTGTTCTTTTCACAGAAGGAAGAGGAAGCTAACTCTGCATCCACCCAAACTATTTCACATTATATATTCACAGCTAAAGATCTCAACAACCTATGTCAGGAGTGTGGAGGACCGGATCAGATTTTTTGGTGTCAGGTATTTTTGGTGCATACACATTCACATTTATCTGTGATACTTTTTAAGGTTTGGAAAAGAAAAGAGGAAAACTACAGCCTCTTCTTTGTCCTTCTGACTAAGCTTCATATGTTTGTCTCCCATCTGCCAAAACTGCGTGTAGAATGTAGCTAGTCGACTTTCATGGTTGAATCACAGATGAAAAACAGTTTCCTCCGCTTTCATGTAGCTGCACATCCTGTTAAATCTATACTGACCTTTAAATTTCATCACATTTCACCACAGCTAACTCAGTACAGGGTTTCTAATACCACACAGACAATTTAATACCCATTTCATGGTCATACTGACCAAAGTATGAATGACATTAATGACAACCAGAGTGGACAATATTGCCTTGACTTATTTAAGTGCATGAACTTATTGATATTTATATCAAATTTTTGTCAATACCTCCCAGCAGTGTATAACTAAAATTTCTAATATCATTATTAATTAATCAGTAAACACAGCCTATGCCTGGAAAAGCAACAGAAAATGAATGTGTAAATGGATGGAAGGATTAACCAATCAAAACACAACATTTTACACAACATCAAAAGGTCTGGACATTTTCCAGACAGTTTTTTTTGTTGTTGCTAAAATCACATTAAAACACTTTATAAGTAACATCTGTCATTGAAACCAATGCTTTTTAACATTTTTCTTTTTAAGACCTGCACACATGCAGACTGTAAATCAAAATGATTTGTTACGCAGGCTGCTTCAGAGTCTTGTTTTCACTGACCTGACCAATTGTTTTTTCGGATCCAGGATGTTGAGCAACTTGTCAGCGTAGACTTTCTTTGAAGCCGTGAAGAGAATAATCTGAAATTTCAATGGATAGCAGTGATAAATAAGTAAAAGGTAAAGTCATATTAAACAAATACTATGTGGAGTCTCTTAGTAACAAAGACACATCTCACCTCATACATTTGAGACATACGCTCAAGAAATTCACGGAAAAAGGGCCTCAACCGCACATATACCTTCAGATTAAAAAAAGAGCAAACAAAAGAAATTCAATCAGAGCATCAAGAAAATGGAAACCCTTCAATAACTGTGTGACCTTCAACAGTTGGTACCTGGTATATTACATCTTGAAAGAGCACAGGGAATGTCAGGGCTGCGTCTTCTAGCTCATTCAAACTACAGTGAACCAGAGTCTCATCCTGAGAGCGGAAAAAGAGAAGAACATCAGTATGAAAAACACATTAAAACCAAATTACTTTTAATATGAGATGAAGCACAAGAAACCTTCCACTGCTTACCAGATCTAAGACGAGAGAAAACTCTGGTGTGCTGCGCGTTTTCAAAGGTAACGCTGGTTTGCGTGTTAACTGCTCTTCTGTCAGAGGAGGCACGTGCTTGATGAAGAAGTATCTTGAGGCAGAGAAAACATAAATAAAATCAAAAACAAGAAGACCCCTTATTTAACTGACCAAACAAGAACTGTCCAAACAAAAAGGAATACTTTCAGAACAAAGTTTAAAAATGGAGTCGGTCCTCTGGCTGAGGTGTGATCAGTAAGAACACCTAATTCTTAATTAAGTCTTTTCACCACTTATAATTAGAAATTAGACATAAAATGTCTAATCCAATTTCAGTACCACAGGGGCTGAAAAGATCTAAAGACCTAACAGTATCTTCTCACATGAGTCAATTAACTGAACTGTGAAAAAAATCTCTAGTCCAATGAAGTACAACAGTGGCGTAAACATGGTGTCAAAGAGCAATCACAGGCTGAATGTTTTTTTTTGCTGCCATCTAGTGGTTAAAAATTTTATGACACCAGATTCTATTAACTCACCGACAGGCAATGTCACCTTGGATGTGATTTCAAGTGGTATCAGACAACACTTCTGATCACAGCTCAGAGTTTTAACTTTAACCTGCAACAATTATTTGCACAAGTCTGCATTTGGAGACTGTTATTTTTACTGAATGGCTCTTTATGACTTTTTCGTTAACAAATGGCTACGATTGTCACCGTAAAAATAATGCTCTACTTACGGATCAAAAACTTCCCAGTCCTCTTCGTATGAGGTTTCTGGAGGAGCTGAGGGTAACGCGTGTGGGTAACCGCCAACTGGCATACAACCAGGAGCTGATGAGGACAAAAAGATGGGAAATTAGTTAAAATGTTATGTTCTTCAGCAATTAAGAGCTGAAGTCATGAGGACACTTTCGGGCTAGCCTCTGGTACACTAGCTTCTGTAACTCAATGCAATCGCTCATTCAGCTGTTGTTTCTTCAGTCTTTCTGAAAACATGAACTGTGTCCCTGAGTCTTAATTTCTATATTCTCAGACAAATCAACATTTACGACAGCAGCTGCTATTAAAACTTAAACCTTCGTTTTTTAGTTATTCACTTCATTACAAATGTTTGTGGGATTTGAAATTAGGTTTTCTTACTTTTGGAAAAGAACCGAGGTTCCACTTTCACATCAGCTCTCTATTGATAATCATAATGCAGATATTGATTGTTATATATTGTTCCTAATAAACTGGTGGCTGAGTGTAAGTAATGATAACTGACTGTAGCCAGCGTTTGACCCTGCTGATACTGAAAAACAAAAGCTCAGTTAACCTCTAAGAGTATATCGTGATGGTGCCCAAATGATACACTTTATTTACACTTTTTCAAGTGTCTACTATCACAGCACTGACACATAGATTATCTTATTATTGCATAAACTGTCCTGGCTTATTGTCATGTCAAGAAAGTTTCCCAAATTACAAGACTGAGGCTTAATGTGAGAGCGGCCATACCTGTTAATGGGGGCATGTCGGTTTCAGTGACAATCTCCCCTTCTTCTATGGTTGTATCGGAGGTAATCTGAAGCCTCGGTGGCAACACTGGGTCAGTGTGACATGGAGTGATGCCCTCTGTGGATGTGAGAGTGCTGCTTGGTATTTCCTCTGCCTGCTCAATGTCCAGCTGTTTCATGATTTCCTCTGCCTCCATCGCTTGGCCAGGAGAGTCTGAACCAGGAGTGGCTTGAAAGAAGGAACACAACAGACAAGAGTTGTCGGTGCAGTTTGGTCTCTGGAGAACTTTTTAAAGTCAATGCTAGATGTTAGATATTTTCAGACAAATATCTAAGCATTCTTTTGTTTTACCAGTTTTAGTTGCTGGTGAGAAAAAGTTGAAGACTGGAGAGAAGATGGTTCCAAGCAGGGTGGTGCGTGGTGGGCTGCTTGCTGCCTCAACAGGGGCGTCTAGTTTACCGTTTGGTTTGATGGGTTTACTGTTGCAGGTCATTGTGGCTAAAGAAAGACAACAACTCTTTAATAACAATCCTAAAAATAAAATGTCTGTATAGTTTTTTGTGTATGGGGTCTCTTTTTGTAACCGTGCATCTTGCTATACTGCAGTCAACATGAACTATTTCCCACTTCCTATTTGGACTGAAGTACCTTTATTTGGAGTTTTCCGGCAAACTCGGGCGACTGATTTGTTGGAAAGGCCTCTAGTCTGTGGTGTTGAAGTAATTAGATCACTATCAGAATTACAATCAATACGACTCCTCTTGGCGGGGATGTCCTGCTCCACCTGTCAAGGGAAAAAAAAGACAGAGGAACAAGTCAAGACTACAACTCTTTCACACAATTTTGCAACTTTTTAGTGGATTTCTTCTCTTTCAACTTGAAAATCTTTATAATACTAAAATGACAAATAGATTTAATAGCATTTAGAGAAACATTTAGTCACTTATTTGATTAGTTGAACACCAGAAAATGAATCTGCAACTATTTCAATAATCAGTTAATCATTTCAGATGATTTTTATTCAAGTAAAAATGGTGAGCATTTGCTGTTTCCAGCTCCTCAAATGTGTGGACTCAGTCCTTTTCTTAGCCGTATATTATTGTAAACTAAACATCTTTAGATTTTGGACTGTTGGTCAGACAGCACAACAACTGAAACTACTGCAGATTATCTTTTCAATCACTAATTGTTAGTTACAGCCCTAGTACCATTGTACAATGAGTAAAATAAATATGGTGACATAGTTTCATAACAGGAATTATATCTTGGTGCCAGTATGTCGCTATCCACATCTCAAAAGTGAAGGTACACACATAATATAATAATAACACATAACATCTAATCTAATGTATGTTTGCCAATGAAGCCTGGAAGTTGTGCAGCATTGTTTGCTAGGTTTAATATTTTGGATTTTGTCTGACAAATTATTGAATAGCAACAGACGGGAAGGGAAGTTCCAAAACCTTAGATTTAGTAATTATTTTGTGTTTTGATTTGAAAGTGTCATGAAAATATTTTTAGGTCTGTCCTGATAAGACCTAGCAAAACTGCTGTTGAGACTTTTATGTAAAAGTGACCTGTTCAAACATTGGACGGTTAAATTGCTAATAAGTAATGAGGTGCACGTCTGAAATGGGCTATAGACAACAGAGAACAAAATGCTTCAATGTGGAAAAGTTCAGCTTTTGATGATCTGCACTACTTTTTGCTGTTAATTAAATAGGCATACAGTATGTGGTTTCAGTTAGCTGGCCGTTTATCATTACCATGTACAACAGCTGCCAGAATGAATACAGAGGAAGTTCATAGAAACATATAAAAAGGCTAGAGGGAAACAATGTTGGCTGTGTTGAGACTTTCTGTTAAGAGTCTAAAAACAGTTCTCACTACTATGCAAGTCAAAGTTTTATTTTATCAGCTCAAAATGTAGCTGATGCACTTCTCTTTTTCTACAAAAGTGTGTGTGCTTCTACAGTGTATTATCACATTACAGCAGCAAAAACAAAATTGTACAAGAACAGCTGTGTATCCTGAGCTACGCCCACCTTAACAGCATTTCCTCGGATGAATTTCTTTATTGTGGAGAACAGGCCTGTTTCATTCTTCTGCATTTTGCCTCGACCTCTCACAGAGGATGGCTCCACTTCACAGTATTTCCGTTTGGCCTGGGATGGGTGGGTTCGACGGCCTAAGTTCGGCTGCTGAGGAGCTTTACGCACTCTCAGCCTCATCATGCGCCACCGTCACATAGAAAAATCTGACAAGGAAAAAAACAAAAAAACAAGAGAAATTTAGATTTAATAATGAAAACATATACAATACATAAAATCTAACCAGACAGGAAATGGTTTGTGACAGTTTTTGATTCTCCCTGGGCAGACTTTGGTAACAAAAAGCAATGCAGTTCAATACCAGCCATAATGCCAGTTCACTAACTTACATTATTACTTTATGTGAATGTAGAGGCTCATTTATCAAGGCACTTGCATGCAATAAAATTTGATGGACCCTTGATTAGGTTCAAGTGTACAATGTAATGCAATCCAATGTAAGAATTCTGCGTTAAAGGCAACATAAAAGGCAACAGTGGTAGTGGTGTACAGAACTACACTGTATCCAAATATGTTTCTAATATTCTGCCTTCTTCAAAAATTTGAAGCACCCCTCAGTATAATATACCTTAAACCACCTTTAACTATGACCTCAATGATAAATATATAATAGAATGTACACATTTTCAACAATGTCAACAAAAACTGAACATTGTAAACTTTGTAAGGTAGAATTCATAGCAGAGTTGTTTTCCTGAACTGCAAGATTGTACACATGTACCTAATAAAGTAGCCACTGAGTGTGTGTTATTTGAGCAGTATTACTGGTAATGTACAAGAATGTTTTATTTAGATATCAAGGAAAATTTGACAGAAGGTAGGTAAGACCTGACAGCAGACTTTCAGCAAGTTCTAATCAAATTCACTAGTAAACTAAGGAAAATTGAAATCCATAAATATGACTATCTTTCCACATTCTATTAGTTACAGAAAGGTAAATGAGTTCAAAACTGCAAGCTACTTCACAGATGAACAGAAACTGTAATTTTACTGGTTTGTTAGTGCAGTTTCTAGTTACTTGTAACCTTACATTGTAAGGCAAAAGCATGTAAGTGTATTGTATGTGCTAGATGGAAGTTCCCAAATTAGTACCATTTTAACATGTCATCCTATCATGTTATCTATTGATGTCTTTTCAGTTCCTGTTTCTACCTCTCTGAACAGCCACTTTATAGGCCAAGAACAGTAGTTTGCCAAGTACACGTGTGGACTTAATTATTCTTAGTGTACTGAAACGCATCATATACTGTTTTCTTAATCTGGCAAAAACTTTAATATGAATTAAACTGATGACAACAATTGCTCAGTATATGTAATCACAGCGATATCTACACTGCTGCCTCAATAAATTCAATTAGATTAGTGAGGAGAGACGCCTGAACATGATGGTCAACAAATCAGTTAAGATCAACTCATGTTAGTCCTTTGGTTATCACAGTCATTTATAAAAAACTTAATAAAGTTACGAGCACAAGTTATCATCAAAATTAAATGAACGTCAGACAGACCGGTCAGTGGAGTGGGCGGTGTACGTGATAAACATTAATGATAATTGGGGGATGTGAAGCATTTAATGTGTTCAAATTAAGCTGGTGTTCAGTACAAAAGCTTTCTGTATTCATGTTTGCTCAATAATGCTCCTGGTTTATTCACTAATTGTTTTTTAATTTGGATGTGATAGCACAGCACCGTTGACTATCGTTATATAACATCGGGCAGGCTGCATTAACACCAACGACGTCAGCTAGCGCTAGCATTAGCCAGCTGCTGGTATTTAGCATCAAAAGCCCTGCGTACAGCCACCATTGTTCTGATGCTGGTGTCCCGCATATGTGAGGATACGACTATGATGTTTGTGTGACCACAACTGACGCTTATATCTGCTGTCAATTTGAATAAATCGGACCGTGAACCAGATATTGTCAGTGGGTTCCGTGGCTAAAGTTAGCACAAGTGGCTGCAGTTTGCTTTCATGCTAACAAAAACGCCAATGGCAGCAAGAGCAAAGCTGTGACATTGTTCAATTCAGTTCCCACAGAACGGCTCATATGTGTCCCCGTTAAAATACACGTGTTTAACACCCAAACTATCCAAAAAATTCCTCGATAAAATAAAGCTATATAGCAGCTAGCGGCGCTCTGGCTATTTTGTTCGCTTCCATAACTATTTTCAGCCATTAGACTACGCCCCCTTCGCTGGCTAACATTAGCCGCTAGCTATCAGCAAGGGGACAAACCTTTTTTGTTTACATGTTGACGTTGTTTGTTTCTTACCGATAATCTGGGAAGCTCTTCAACCTGCCGCAGCGTTGTCAGCTCTCGGCCACGACCGTTACGGCCACCGATAGAGGTCGGGCCGTGGTTGTTGCTGCCAGCGGTGTCTGTTGCTCGGTGGCTAGTCACAGAACAACCATGTCTGCGGACGCCATTTCCCGCCTCAGCACAAACATAACGTTGGTGGTGCGCAGGAGAATGCGACACACACGTAAGGGAACCAACGTGGCGGAGAGCGGAGTCAACAGGAAAATGGCTATGGTGTATGTATGTGTGTGTGTGTGTGTGTGTGTGTGTGCGCGCGCGCGCGAGTGCATGTGTATATGAACGCGTGCAGCTGGACTGAGGCTCACTACCACACTTTATCCCTGCTAGTATTGTGTGACTACACGAAAACTATGGAGAAGATGCAAACTGATGCACCTAAAATCACAGCCATAAATGTGTGCATGATTTTTTTTATTATTATTATTATTTTAAATACGTTATTGCAGCTATGCTTTTAACATTACAGTGTGGGATGCAGCTTGCAGAGAACTTTTAAAGGAAAATGCATCACAATAAATTTTCGGTCATCTTAGTTTCCAGTCAGAGGAAACAGAAAGAGTTTTGAGCCCTTGTGGAAAATTCTAGATTAGAGATTTGAGTCAGCTGATCTGACACTGTGATCATGAACTATATTGTTGGGAAATCAAACAGGCAGTACAAACAAGCAAACACACAGTGTGACACGAACAATCTGAACTTTGTCATTTCATACTGTAAAAAGCCAAGTTTGAGTTCATGTCTCTGTCATAGCTAACAATAACAATTATTAAATAAAACAAAATGTCAAATAAGCTTTAGGCTCTGCAAAGTGACTTTCATAAACACTTGAATGAACTGGCTGCCTGGAAGGTAGTCTAATAATATTGAATCATCTCATGTATGCATTAGTGCTGAATCCTCAAAATCCAAAATCAAACTCATCAGCAGGGCAACACTCCAGTAAAATGATCTATTTGTGCACACACAACATGTAAAAACTGTCAGTTGACAAGAATAAATCGGTTAATTTGAACCTTGTTTTGATGATGACTTATGATGCCTCAAAGACAGGACAAAGGCAATTGGTATATCCAAAAACAATGGTAAAACTATAATAAGTGGTCAGCTGTAATGTGAACTGAAATAGTTAATGGCCTACAACATGCAATACATTTGCTTCTGAAGCACCCTTTGCCACTTCAGTTGTGCAGAAATGGAGCTCTAAAAATTGTAGATTGTGCTCTAAGCCCTTAAGTGGCAACATTAACCTGTATAAATAATACTATACACAACTCACAGCAAAACAAAGCCACACATAACATTCAATCCTGCTGTTGTAATATTGTAATAATTTAAGTCCAACAAGGTTGAAACTACACTGATTATATATTTATGATTTTTTCATCAACAACTTCAGTTTGTACTTCAACACCATCATTATTGTAGTAGTGTACACAGTCATTTAATGATTAAAGCATAATGAATCTTTTTTTCATATAAGCACTGACTGTATAAGATGTTTATAATTCTGTTTAGCACTGATAGTAAAATTAATCAATATTTACAAAACACTATTTCTGACATTGATGTTTACTAGTAAGAAAAACGTGTGCTAGTTTGCATGTTAAATGTCAAGCTTTCCCAAACACAGCATCTCTTCAAAAATGTTTGGTAGCACAAATGATTGTTTAAAAAAATCACAGATTGGATGCTAGACTGAAACAGACTTGAGGACTATTAAAATCCTAAAATGGTTTCTGTATACACAGTGACTTCTGTGTGACTGGAAGACAATAATTACAGGTGCTTTCCTCCCATATCTAACATTTTATGTGCAGTTTGCACATAAAATGCAAAAGAAAAAGAAAAGAGGGTCACTTCATCAGATGAACCTGGGCTACATGGAGTGTATACTAACTACAGAGAAGTAAAGCAAAAGTCCAGCTAACAACAGCTTGGCTGTGGGGTTTTAGTGAAATCTACTGGCCATCAATGTGGAATAAGAATATTGTACATCTTTTGTTCGGCTCCTATAAAAATATAATTTCTGGTTAGATAATGGGGTTGATGACAGCAGCAAGATCTTACATTCAATATGCCAAAAGTACAAAAATAATTTACCAATTAGTAGCTAAAAGCATTAATTATCTGTGTTTACTGCACTACAAGCAACTCTCCGCAAGGAGTAATTTATTCCACAGTAATATCAAAAGTAACACTTAATGCAGCTTTAAATGGACCCTGATATTTAAATATTAACTGTAAGTTGATCCAACTTGTTGTAATTTAGTCATGAGATCCAGGCTATAAATATTACTGCACTAGCCACACATGTGATCACCCTTTAGAGAATTTCATGTGCTTTTTCCTCCAGTGGTTTAGGACATGTAACCCTTAACATGCAAACTGAGTGAGCTTTCATTTCATCCCAAGATGAAGGAGTTTCCGGTATGGTCCTGGTCCACCCCACAGGCCCCTGATGTAGGAGAAATGAAGAGAAATGTAGTAAATGTTGTGGAATGATTCATTACTACAGACTATTAACATGTTGTTAAGTAACTACATACATACCTGAGAAGCCCGTGCCAATAGAGATGAGGCATTAAATCAGCTTTCATGTGGTACATTATTCTTCTTTCTTTGGCTTGGTTGATGGGGAAGGTTTCCAGCGGTTGTCCATTGTAGTCAAACTCTGCCAGAATTACTGTGTTGTAGCTTGTAACCAACGGACATGAAGTATAGCCATCATACTGTAAACAAGGAGTTTACTGATGATGTATTTTTACATTTTGCAACAGAGGTACTTCCAAAAGAGAAGTTATAACATTGTTCAAAGTTAAAAAGATGAATCATAGTTGATGTTTAAGTGAAACTTAACCTTCTTATCTGGCTTCTCATTTTTCAGTATTTTGCTGATGGTTCTGTTCAAGATAGCAGTCTGTGCAGCTAAAAACAAGAAAACAAATGCTAAGTTTTTTTCTATAAATGTTTGCATTTTTTGGGGGGGGACTGACAAAAATAAATAGGGCTGCAATGTTCATTTTACAACAGAAAGAAAAACTGTTACTCTAAAAATTGTACCACCAGTGGGGCAAATAATGTGAAATGTGATGTTCCCTGGTGGAGCCAGAAAAAAGTGAGGTTTTTAACATCCATCCTAGTTAACTATAAGACGAGAAGAAATCCAGAAGAAATCCATCTCTATTAGGCTCACTGAAGAAGTACAAGGGAAGAGAGAACCAAACGGTTTTCTGCCTCAGCTGTACTTTGAACTCAATGCTAACAAGACGATCTTTGTTAGCACATTAACGAACATGTTAACTATCTTACATCAACATATTAACATGCATACTGTTAGTATCGAATCACACTAACATGTTAAATCCCTTTGTTAGCTTTAAGCTCAAAGTATAGTTGAAACTGACAGGAATTCGGTTATTACTGTACACTCACTAAACATGATGAGCATGATAAGGCTTAATTCTTTACTGCAGTCAGATTGCATTTGTGCAGGAAAGGATAAGTACTGCTTTACAACCCCTTGTCATCATCACTGATGCCAAGTTGGCAGGACATTCCCATCATTTACGCCACAGTTGACAGAGCGGAAATGGCACTAACACAGGAAATTAGCCAGACACATGGGTTGTGTCTGAAATTACTCGCTCATTCAATGCTCCCTGCTCACTATCCAGGGAGTTCTATGTAGAGACTATATAGTAAGCTCATTGGTAAAATGAAAAAGCACTTTTAGACACAAGTTGGGTAATTTTCTGCACCGTTTTTCTTTCATGGCAAGTGCAATGCATAACGGTAACGGTATATATGGCTTGGTTAGTGACCATCAGTTGTACACTACTTTTCATGCTGTATGTATTGTGGGATACTATGAGTCCACTATATGGGGTATAATAATCCTTAGTATACATTCAGACAGCCCTATAAAATGGCAAACTCACTATATAGTGGACTATATAAGGAGAAGTGAGTGATTTCGGACATAGCCAAGGAGTTAAAACTGTTTCAACAAAACATTTCTTTATCAATTGTAATGGTACAATCAAACTCAAACACAAAGATAAACTAATGTAATGGTAGAACCTGTCAGATACAGTTTACAAGTTTTATAGGGTGTGGTGTATGATTTTCTAGTCTTGTGTAAATAGGTTATTGTGCAATACACCTACTGAAGGAAGTACCTTTCCCTTCACAAAAAGAACAAGCAGTTAACAGTAGATAAAACTGTATGAATCGTATGCTGCAACAGTATTGTGTTGATGCAATTTTCAGACTAATGACACAATAATCACTTACCGACTGCAGCAGCAGTTTTGGCTGTGGGCAGATTGGTACAGTCTCCAATCCCAAACACATTTGGATACCTTTTATGCTGGAGATTGTCTTTGTCGACATCCAACCAGCCAGCCTCGTCGGCCAGTGGACTGCCTTTAATCACCGAATTAGGTCCCATCGGTGGTGTGACGTGAAGCATTTCATACTGATGGAGGAAAACAGTGAAGTTGAAGACTTATTCACTTGGGTCTATTTTCCTAATTTTCATATATTTCGGTGCAAACGGAGACAAAAATGTGTAGATGTATGAGGTTGTTCACACCATACAGGCACTAGAGACAAAAACGACATTATTTCAGGATTTAAATAGGAAGAAAAATAACAAAGCACAGGCTGTCCACTGTGGAGAGCATGTAATACTATACTATATGTAAGACACTGCTGAGGTACAGTAACACAGTTACCTCAATCACTTTGGTTTCGCCTGGTTTGTCAAGATTTTCGAACACAGCTTCTTGCTTGTCCGCCCGCACTTCAATCAGGTTTTGCCTCAGGTTCACCTGTAGGTCACGTTGTTTCACAATGTCCCACAGTGAGTCAGCGTATTTCTTGATCCCAAAGAGCACAGGTAGCGATGTGTTGTATATTATATTGGCCTTTTCCCTTTTTCCTGTCTTGGATATAAACATAAAAATATATTCATTAAATTTGGAAAACCCCTCCTGATAGTTTCAGAATGTACAACATTGTCAATGCATCCCAAAGTTTAAGTACCTTTCTGAGAAAGGCATCTGATAGGTACATGATCTTCTGTGGAGCTCCAGCACATTTCACAGGAGTATTTGGGAAAGTGAAGACAGCATTGCCCTCTTTGAAGTTCTGCAGTGCTTTCCATGTTTTCTCCACAGTTTGGACTGAGTAGTTTGACCCAATCTTTGGATGTTCAAACCCCTCTGGCAATCCCTTGATCTACATTTAAGAAGAGTAAGTGTAAGTTTCCTGAGATGTAACTGCAGTTGTAATTATATACAACTTCAGATGTTTACTAGATAGCAGCAGA